TAAATGTGCCATGGATTAGTCAGTGGGAGGCTTTGTGCTGCCTTGAGCTTAAAATATGTGGGAAAACCTCATAATGCAGAATTCACAATCTCATCCTCAAGTGTACAGCCACTGTGTGATTGTCGTGTGACCGTCACCGCCATCCATGGCCAGAATCCTTTCATCACATGAAGCTAAAACCGCACAATTATGCCGACTCCTCTTGTCCCCCGAGCCTCGAGCAGTCACCATTTACCTTGGTGTCTCCAGAGACGGGGCTGCTCTGGGTGTCTCTCCTCAGTGGACCCGCACAGCGTTTGTCTTGTGACTGGCCTGTTTCACTTATGTCAAGGCCCTTGAGGCCCTCATGGCCATGGCATATATCAGAATCCTCTTTCCAACCTACTTCGAGAAACGAGAAGCATGGTGATGGTTTATGGGTCACATTCCTGTTGCACGCTTACATACCCACCCCACACAGGCTTAGCACTTTGGTGAGTGAGTGCTAGTTTAAATGGGGGGGGGCCAGTAATGTGTGGGTTCTGTAGCCAGGGTCTTCATTTTCATGTGTAGAGAAAGGTCCGTTACTTTTATGGTATGTGGTCATCTTATTGGGAAAATATCTAACTTTGGCCCAACAAACAAAAAGGATTCCCTTCCTTTACTGGGTTGCATATATTCCCATTGCATGTGTTGCCTTTTGTTTGTTCACTCATGGATGGACACAGGTTGCTTCCCCCTTTTGGCTATTTTGAATAGTGCTGCTGGAATGTGGGGTATGGAGATCTCTCTTAGAGTTAGTTGTTGTTCTCAGATCTCAGGAGAGGCATTGCTGGTGATTCTGTTTTTGAGAAACTCCTACACTGTTTGCCATTGTATTGCCTTGACTTTTTGATCCAGCCCACTTACAGACTCTACAGTGCAAAATTTTTGCATTGAGAGCTCAGTCCTACAGTAGCTGCTTCACTACCCCATCTGTCGCCTGTCTGCTCCAATTTCACTGTGATAATTATGAGTCAAACCTGGAACAAATTTGGCCAGCATGTTCTGGCATTACAGATGACCCTGTGCTTGTTGTAAAATGGGGGGTTTCCCTAATACCTTTGGTTTGTGGGAAAGAATGTGAGCCATTGTTAGAGGGTGTTTAAAAATTCAATGCTGGGCCTCCCTGGTGGCCCAGGGGATTGAGCGCAGCACTGTGAAGCTGTCTACAGCCTCTGCAGTGTGGGTTCGATCCCCGTCCAGCCAGGGAGATACCCCACATTGTGTGGCAGACTTCTCTGTCACCCCTGCCACTCCCCTCAGCAGTGTTTTGGGTCCGTCTGCCTGTTCTGCTCCCTGCTTGTCTCTGGTGAATCTCTCACCCTCCCGCATCTCTGGCCTGTATCTCAGTTCTTATATGCATAAATAAATAAATCTTTAGATAAAAAATGAAAAAATAAAAATTCAATGCTGAAACAAAAATCACTTACCACCATCCTCCCAAGTCTTAAGAGCTTTTTGATTTGAGCATCTCTTGGGGTTCAAGCTGAAAAGTTTAGCATTCTACCAAGCTCGGGTAGCCAAGAAAATTCCAGAACAGAGAAGGAAAGAGGATGGGCCTTGTGGGTTGTTAACACTTGATCTTAGCCGAAAGGCCGAAGAAGCGATCCTTGTGGGTTATTGAAAGATGCCTAAAACTATGCTATGCATTCACAATAATGATAAGGCAGCGGCACAGACACACAAATCCAGAAGTAGGTGCCTAGATTTGGGCCATTTTGGTGTCTTGCAAATCAGTGGGGAAAAGAGAGATTCCAAAACAGATGGTGTAGTGGCAGCTAGTTTTCCTTGCAACATTCCAGACCTGTCAAAGAATAAAAAAATAATAATAATAATAAGTGATAGAAGTGGTAGAAGAAAATACAGGTGAATTCATTTCTTACTCTGGCATGAGAGACACTTTTTTTTTTTTTTTTTAAGATTTATTTATTTGTTTATACAAGAACTGGGGTACAGGCCAGAGGCGCGGGAGGGTGAGAGGATTCACCAGAGACAGAGCGGGGAACAGAACAAGCAGACTGACGAAAAATACACTGCTGAGGGGGCAGCAGGCGAGACAGGAGAGGTCTGCCTCGCCAGATGGGACCCTTGCTGGCCGGCCGGATCGAACCAGCGCTGCAGAGGCTGCGGACAGCGATGCTCAACTGCCTGCGCCACCCGGGGAGGCCCGAGAAACACCTTTTAAGCAGGATTGAAGCCTATAGGCCAAACAAGAAGAAGAATTAATTCATTTGTCAACATCAATATTACAGTTGAACAAATGTTACTTTAAAATGGCTAAAGAGAATGTTTGCAAAATATTTCCACTGTATGTCCTAGCAAAGAGCTAATGTTTTAACTTTATTGAGAGCTGGTTCAAATTATAAACAACTGATGCCTAACAGAGACAATGGACAAAGTGCATGTCTAGGCAGCTCACTGGACAAGTGTTACATGGACAGAAATCTTGCAGAAAGTAAGTTTACACAAGTAGACACCGAGGCAAATCCAAGTAAGATGTGTTTTCTACCTGACAAACAAATGTACGACATCACACATACTCCCTGCTGGCAAAAATATTACAAAAATGGGGCCTCCCCGGTGGCGCAAGCGGTTGAGTGCTGGGCTGCGAAGCTGCCCACAGCCTCTGCAGCGCTGATTCGATCTCTGGCCCTGGCAAGGGTCCCCACATGGCACACAGACCTCTCCTGCTGCAGCCGCTGCTCCCCTCAGCAGTGTATTTCATCGGTCTGTCTGTTCTGCTCCCCGCTCTGGCTCTGGTGAATTCTCTCACCTTCCCGTGCTTCTGACTGTACCCAGCGCTTGTATAAATAAATAAATCTTTAAAAAAAAAAAAGTATTACAAAAATGGGCAGCTTTCTAGGGTATGTTTGCTTGCTTTAAAATTACAACTTCTGGAGTTTTTTATTGCTATCTGACAGCCACAACAACAACTGTGTTTAAAAGAACATTGGTGAATCTGCTATTCATTATGGGGTTGTGCTACTTGGAAGGCGGAGTTAAGCGCCTCATTTTTTTTTTTTTTTATAGATTTATTTATTTATGTGTATAATAACTGGGGTCTAGGCCAGAGGTATGGGGGAGGGTTGAGACGATTTCACCGGAGATAGAGTGGGAGCAGAACAGGCGGGTCTACGAAATCCACTGCTGAGGGGAGCAGCAGGGAGACAGGAGAGGTCTGCTGTGCCATGTGGGTCAGCTCGCTGGCTTGGGATCTTAACTCATGCTGCTGTGGCAGGCAATAGCTTCATAGCTCCGAGACTTTAAGCCTGCGCCACAGGGAGGCCCACATTTTACTTTTTAATACTTCCCCACATTAAAAAATACCACACCTCCGACATTTAAAAGCACCCAACCATTTAAATGATTATTCCATCCAAACAACATGTACCAGTGTAGTGGGATTAACTCACCCTTCCATAGATAACGGACTCATTGTTTTCTCCTCATCTCTGCTTACACATTTGCACTTTTGGTGTTGGGTGAGCAGCAGTGAGGAGATTAGAGAGCTGTGCCGGTCTGTGCTAAAAACTCACCCCAGAGCACGTCCAGGCTGGGCAGCTGCCCCAGGAGTGCCTGATCAACATGCTGCATCTGTCACATTCAATTGAATATCAGGTGCGGCTCAAGCACAGGCAGTGGGTCTTGGCTCTGGGCCAGTCTGGTGACCATGTAATGGCCTGAGATCCATGACAAGACAGCATTAGGGACCATCCGTGCTCCAGCATAGGATTTGGTGTTTCTCCTGCAGCTTCTGTGGTACCGATGAGCTGTTAGCTTTCCGGAAGTTACTAGCATTAACGGTTCCTTTGTGAGACCTCTGTTCCCAGCCACTCACGGCTAGCCTCAGGCTCCAATTAATTGAAGCTGTAGCCTGGGTTTACAACCCCAGCTGTC